AGGGCTAACTTTCTGACAAAGAAATACAAAGCCCCCACCACCCCATATCCTCACATCTCTAGAACCTCCCCACTTCAGGCCAATCCTAGAGGGAAGGAGAGGGAAACAGATGACTTAGGCCTGTCAAAAAAAAAAAAACCTAAATATTTTCCCCAAATGTTTTGCATTCAATAATACCCAACCACAATGTACCAAGCCTTTTTTCCCCTTAATTCTCCAAACCCATGTGTATTCCAAAGGAAATGTAATCCATGTGTCTCTCATTTGCTTACACTTAAATCATTATAAAATGTTAAGGTTTTTAAAAGGACATCAACATATCTTTTGTGTCTTCCTCATGATCCTCCTTTATAATTCTTAAGAATGAGGTGTTTTAAAGAACCAGTGGAGATAAAGCCCTGAATAATTAATTAGAACTCAGGACTTGATCTCTGCATAGATTTTGCTTCTGGATACAGGAAAACATGAATTTGTTTAGTCACTACGAATGAAAGAATGAGTAGAGTTCTTTAGTAAATTTGACAAATTGACCTATTTCTTTAAAACATCCTTTAGATCTTTATAATTAGGCCTGCCTAATTTGGATTCTTCTTCAGGCATCCTTTTCAATGAGACTATTCCAATGAGATACCTGAAGTGGTAGTGCACATAAGAAAAACTTTCTCAAGAGTAGGTAGGAAAACGCGTGAGGAACTCAGGCACTAGAAGGACTAAGTTCAAGTTTCAGATAATGTCCTCTAATATGGCAGAAGGTAAGCACTAGTCTCCTGGGATAGCTTGCCTGTCGTAACAACGTGGTGAACTAAAGGCTCTAAGCACAGAGAACCAGAGAAGCAGACTGTGCACCTAAAGCAATTAGGTGTCAGGGTGTGGGCTTTGCGCCTCTAAATCAGGATGGTCCTAAGTTCATTAGAGAGAGCTGGAGCCCACTTTCTTCCATTCCCCTCTTCTACTGCAGGCTCTCTCTCAGCAGTGGTATTGGGCCATAGAGAAGGAATAAGTTCACAGTGAGTCTGCATGTTTAAAGTAAAATAATTTAAAAGAAAAGGTTTGCATTTCTTCTTCCAAATGAAGAATAATAAAGCAATAAAGCAAAACCCTGTTGACCACATCTGTAATTTTAAAGACAAGACAAAGAAAACAAAAATGAAGAGCTTAATTAGTTATTACCTTAAAAGTATCCACAAAGGAGGCTAGCTCCTTCAAAACAAGAGTAGACAAAGTCAACCTGCTATTTGAAGAGTTAAGCACAGAACAAATAAAAAAGTAGGAGAAATGTGCTTGATCAATGCTCATTTGCTCTAATTTGTCATTTCACACTCCCAACAAACCAGTAAGTTTATTCCATCAGTCTAAGATCAGGCTGTGCCAGTTCCATCTTTATCAGATAGCAACCCGACCTTTCTTTCCCTCTTTGGTCTATGAGGATGCAGTGCAAGACTTGGGGAAGCCGCAAGACAGCCCAGGTGACAGCTACCCAGGCGGAGAAGCAGTGGGAAGAGCTGCTGCACAGATCAGCAACCGCCTGGACTGTGGCTGGGTGCTGGCGTCGGATGCAAGAAGGAAGCTGCAGAGACATCCAGGACACCCTGTCATAAACCTAGCTTCTGACCCAGACTTGAAATACTGAATTTATTTCACTTGGGAGAAAGAAGGTCTTGATTTAGTCTCAATTATGTTCATCCTATCAAGAAAAGCCTCAGATACCCTTTTGCTTCATTGGAGGAGCTCACAATTATGAGCCATAAAAGTTGGGCAAATTATCTGTGATAAAACAAGACAGCGTTGCGTCTACCAAGGTTATTTGACATTGCTGGATGTGGCCCAGCTAAGGCCCAGCCAAATGTTCAGTGTACTCTAGGTAGAGCCTGAAATAAAAGGATATTTCATTTGAACTTAACTCTCATTTTGCCCTTGAAATTAAAGAAACTCAAATTCTATGAGCAGGAAATTTATTTTAACAAGGCAAAATTTGCTTCCTTTAAAAAAATGAAGTACTAATAAAGGCTCTATTCATGATTATTTGCACAGAATCCTTTCTGTTTTGTACAACACTGGTGACTCTTGTAGTAAGTCTTGGCTCCAGGCACACAAAGTTCTTCGACTTTCCTTGTTTCTCGGAGCTCTTCTTTCTCACAAAATCCCCATTGACATTGTCTCTCCCCATCCTACAGACATTCATGTGGACTAACAGTAAATATCTCAGCAGATTCAGACTTGGACACCTCTTTAAGCAATTCATTTGTTCTCTGATTTTGATGGTTTTGAGGTACTGTGCTAGATCTGCATTTCCAGCACCAAGATTATTTGCTCTCCAGTTTTATGGTTATCACAGATCTTTGAAGACTGACACCACGAGCTCCAATAATGCCCCCACACATTGAGTTCCCAGCAAAAAAAACCACCCAACTGAGCCCCAGCCAGCCCCAAGAATGGAGAAGAATAATAAAATTGTTTTATGTCACTAACTTTTTGTGTGGTCTCTAACAAAATAATAGAGAACTAAGAAAACTTTTTATCTAAATACTGAGTTAAAGATAAAATGCTTTCACAAAAGAGAAATAAACAAAATTGCATTGTAAGTTATTTATTTGTATGTTGGTATAAACTTTCATATTATTTTCTTTTTTAATGGAAGTACTGGTGTTCACTAATCCATCCACTCTACAAAAAATTAAGAACCTATAACACATTAGACACTCTCCTAGTGCCTGAGTACCCAGCTTTGAACAAGACTAGAAAGGTCCCGGCCCTCTTGATAAAGCAGACATTCTAGTGAAAGGTTGGAAAAGCAGATGACAAATAAGTGAACATATCAATGAACAAAATATTTTACATAGTGAAAAATAAAGCAGGATCATGTGAAAGAGAAAGAGTGGGGTCAGAAACCTACTTGAGATTGGCAGGCTGAAAATGATTGAGAATAGCGTTATTTGAGCTGAGGCTATCCAGCTGTGAGAAGATCTGCAAGAGAAGAGGCAGAGAGGATAGCTTTCCAAGCAGAGGCAAAAGCAGGTGCAAATGCACTAGGCAGGAATACATTGTTGGAGGAATAGAAAAGCCTGTGTGACCACAAAAGAATGAACAAAAGAGAGGGTGGTATAACATAATCAGAACAGCAGAGTCCAGAGAAATCTTGCAGGGGCCTTGTATGTCGCAGCACGTAGTTTGAACTTCATTCCATATGAGATGGAAGCCATTGGAGAGGTATATAAACACAACTATTTCTGTTTCTTTAATTGATCTAAAGAGTGAACCCTTGGAATAACCAATTTAGAGGGTAAGAAACCATGTCAAGGACTGCCTCAAGTCACATGCATGAAAGGTTACATTGATGCCAACTAAGAGAAAAAGCACCTGAAGAAGTAGGCCTAGAAAACACACAAAACTCAGCTTTTCCGAGCACAGCAGCGACTGTAGCAACATCAGCCAGACCACTAACCAGACTACTAAGGTATTACGAGAGACCAGAGAAAGAGGAGTTTGCTAGTTCTATATTACCAATAATAACAATAATCAGTGTGTCACAGCCTACAAAGAACCTAATCATCTCCCATGATCTGTACGGCTTCCCTGTGAGGAAAGGTAAAAAGGTATTATCCTCAAACTACAGAAGGGAATCAAGATTCAAGGCCACGCAACCATGGACAAAATGCAGATCTGATCATAGTCCCTTGTTCCTTTCATTAAATCATACTCCCTAGCTAAATTCTAAATAAACTACTCCCAACATATGGAACACTACAGAACATGTGGAAAATTGTTTAGGAACTCATTGGAGACAGTACACTAGACAGCCTTACGTTCACCTGCATGGAACACCAGGTAGGGTTATGGGGTTTGGCAATTCAAGAAATGAACATGCCCTTCAGAATAGGACATGGTAAATCTTGCCCACTGTCTTTATGAGGTCTGTGACCTCAGCAGACCTGAGAAAAGGAATTCCATATCACTTTAGTAGCATAAATTTGAGCTTAGAACTGCAACTTAAATTTTAAAAGTAGTCTCTTAACTCATCCAGATAAATCTGTTTATTTTTTTCCAAGATAGCATCTCACTCTGGTACCAGGCTGGAGTGTAATGGCGTGATCATAGTTCACTGCAGCCTCAAACTCCTAGGCCGAGGTGACCCTCCTGCCGCAGCCTCCCAAAGTGTTGGGATTATAGATGTGAGTAACCACACCTGGATCAGTGAAGTCTTTTATGAATTGTCTTGCAATTCTTAGGTACTTGGGAAGTAACTATCAAGAAAGGCTCCCTCTCTTTCTTGTTTTTGTGTGTTCTCTATTTTCTTTTATACTTTCCTCAAGAGAATGGAACTATACAAGTAATGAGCCTAAAATTATCAAAATAATGAATGTGCAGGAAACAAACACATCCACTAAGTTTATATATAACTGAATATATATAAAATTTCATGAACAAAAGATCAGAAAACATACAGAAAATAGCTTTCATCGACAACAGAGTCTTTATCATGGATTATAACTCCTTCCTAGAGTGCTTTTGAATGATTTCTAAGACCATTCCTAGGACAGTTTTGTCTCTCAAGAAGTGTTTACTTAGTAGCTCCATCTTAGCAATGAGGTGCTTTGAAACGCTAAAAGTACAAACTTTCCACACATTCAAATATATTTAATCAATTATTTAGTCATATGTTGTCAGGGAATTCATACTATATGTGGTTATAAGTTTATCACGTATTTTAAAAGCAATAAATCTTAAAATAATTTTTATATACAATAGATTATTTGTTCATAACCTGATAACCTAGTGTAAAAATTCTATTTTATGGATTATTGAGTCACTTTCATAATATATTCTTCAAAGGTGAAGGACTCAAAGCTATAAAAATGTATTTAAGATTTCCATATAACAAATTTTACTTCCCTAGTGGTATTTAACCAGCCCCTATAGAATTCACAAAATGATACACCCTCAAATTTTTAAATTATATCCAGAAAGAGCATTATGCTTGTATTATCCCTGTGTAATACTTACTTTTGACATGATTCAACTTGTTTTGTTTTCTAGTGTTGAAAGGAGTGGAAAAATTGATCCAGTTAATGAACATTTCTGAAAAACATTAACATATAACAAGTGAAAAGGGACATGCTTTTAAAAGTCATGAAGAAACAAAGCCAGCTGTAAGGGAGAAAGAAAAATGGGTATTAAAAAAAAAAAAAAGAGCACAGTTTTATTTTCAAACATAGCCTCAAAGACCATTAATGTTTTCAATCTAAATAAAAGCCATTTTGGAAAATATCTGTTTAGTAACATCATTGATTTGAAAAATTGAGAAAATAAGTTCTTGTAAAAGAAAATATAAAGAAGTAACCACCCATAGTAATAATAATTATCATCACCACCTAGACCCCTTGTGTATCAGGTACCAAGCGCACACGGCACAGTAGGCCACACAAACAAATGGTAGGTCACCTGCAGCAAGCACAGTTAAGGGACCAGGTGTGATAAAAAAAAAATAAAGATCTTTGAGCTCAATACATATGCATTCTCTCAGGTCTATGACTATTCACAGAGAGACAGGGACCTCCATTTCTCAACTCTATGCTCAAGGATATATGAGTTATCTTCTTATTTCTGGAGAAAGAAAGAATTGTTTCAGGGACGTTTTAACAATCGTTTGGATAACTAGCTTCCTAGATAGTGCTTTTTCTGTAGAAAGAAAGAAAAGAATACAAGAAGAGTTGTAGACGAACTCCTGTGATGCTTTATTACTCGTGCTATGACATCATGAGAAAATACACACAGAAGTAATTGTAAGGATAAAATAGGGAGACACCAATTACCACAAGTAATAATTTGGAGAATCTTTTAATTACTAGTTGGCAAATTCCCCAGTCCCCAGCAGCAATAGTATAGGCTCACATTATCCCTCATCCCATGACAATTCTTATGAAATTATTGTGTCCCTATTTCCTTCTAGCCATACTATTTTGTCACCCGAAAATGTGTTTCCCATAATGGGAGTAGCCAAAAACATGCTGCACCAATGCCTGGTTGAGATACGGCAGACATCAGTAGGTAGATGCTGGCATTTTCCACACCTTGTCTTGCTCAGCAATGCCACACTGAAAGTGTTGTCAGCTTTGTGATGCAGGTAAAGAAGTTAAAGCTCAGAAATTCACTCTGCTCATGAACTGATATTAAAACCCAATTCCCAAGAAGATGATACATTTTCCCCATATAACCATTAAATGCCATCACAAAAAGTAGAAAAATACTGTCTAATGGAAAATATAATTTACAATATCTGTGTATAAATCATTGCACCTTCAAAAACATTTAAGAAAATCTACTTTCCAAATGTTTCAATTCACAGTCATTTGCTGCTGGCTCTTCCACTACTGCTCCCCAACATAATAAAATTATCTGTGTGTCTCTCTGCTTCATTGGACTGAAAGATCATCAAGGACAGGAGATGTGAATACTTCATCCAGCATTCTGCCTGGCAAATACTAGTGTTTCATAAATGTGAACCTGATTTGAAACATTTAAAATAAGTTTATAGGAGAAGGATCTAGTCATGATAAAATCTATCAGTTTGTTACACTTTCCTTTTATTACTTTTTTTAAAATTAATTTGTGAATCAGGAAAAAGCATTTTTTTAACTTTTAGTGATAAACCATGTTAAATAAGCATCAGCATTCTCCATGAGCATAGTTTGAGAATGACTGGTTAAAGATAGAAATAGAATCTGCGTTTGATGCTCTCTCTCAAGATCTAGTGAGTCCAGCTTTTGGGGAAATTAGAGTTTAGGCATGCTGATTTCTGTTTTCCCTGGTTGTTTTGTAGGATTGTTTTAGTTTATTTTGCACACCATGGTGTGAGCAACTCAAACAGAGTTTCAGGAATAGCTTTTCACATTTTCCCTTCTTCCCTAGTCTCATTCCAACCCCTACCTCAAGACTAGAGGAGAGTAGTTCCTTGGCTGACTACCCAATCTCATGTCCATTGAGACACATTAGTAATTCTCAGTGGGATGACAGTAGTGAATCTAGCTGTTGATAGCTGGGCTGAGCAGTTAGTTGACCTACCTGCTAATGAGCTCATCCCAAAGCCATCATGACTCTAGCAGATGTGCAGACTTCATAGAGTTGTTTCCTTCTTTGTCAGTCTCCAAAGCCAACTAGAACCCCATGAAAATCTGCTAAGAAATGTGGCACACACAGAACACATAGAACAAGGAAAAAGACATCCAGAGGACCTGCTACTGTACTACTTCCTCATACTCCAAATAATACTACTGTAGCTGCAAATGACTTTGCTATGGAGATACAGGACACAGCTGCATCTGTGTATTGTCTTCTGGAAGAAGAAAGAGGAAAGATTTATGCTGAGGTCAAAATTTGCCTGCTTATTTCCATGAACAGAAAATTTCATTATAGCAGATGAATCACAGTGATTCTGAAAGAGCTAACTTGACTATTTCTCCATTGGTAAGATGCTTTGAAAAAAAAATAATAAATTGACAGTTTCAAAGACCAGCACCTCCTCTTTATCTACAGGAAAAGCACTATCTAGGAAGATAGTTATCCCAACAATTGTTAAAATGTCCCTGAAACAATTATTTCTTTCTCCAGAAATAAGAAGATAACTCATATATCCTTGAGCATAGACCCTGAATATCATATAGGAATTAGGGTGCAATATCATGCTTTGGTGGCATTGGATTGAAGCCTGTAAATACTTTGCCAAGATGGATTGACATAAATGAATCACCTAATGATAATTTCATATCACTGTCGCATTGGAATGTGTGTGCATATACACACATATATTCATTTTAAATTAAATCTGTATATTGAAAACTAAGAAATTGTGTGTTCAAATCTCAATCCCCCACTACCCGTGCATATACCCTATTTGATTATTTTCTCAATACTTTGCTCTGGCCCAACTTAAAAGTCATATATATCCTATATTTTAAATGCACACTATCAGAGTTTTCAAACCAATGAACAATTGTTACACTATTGCAATGTGTGATTTAGAGATTATACAACTGTGAAAATTGCATAATCTCTAGCTGAATATTTTGGTTTTGATAAATGCCATAAGTGAAATATAATCAACTTTGTACATCCAGCCAGATATGTGTTTAATAATACAAGAAACTTCTTCAACAAAATTGTTTAGGTAGTATCTTGCTTTGGATTTATATCTCCAGTGACTTCTAGTCTTGGTTTTGTAACACCCCAGTGAGTTTTCAAATGTTTAAGGTGTGTTATCAATTTTTCAAATAAAATATGAAATTATACTTGGAAAACCACCCATGCTTTGTATTGTTAAAATGGAATATGTATGCTATAGATTCTGGTGGGGAAAAGTTTTATAAAGTCAGACAATTCCTAAAGATTTAGAAATACTGGAATAGAGACTGAGAACATGTACATTTTAAGTCTCCATAACTAAAACAATGATACAAAGAAAAATCCATCAATGGGATTACTGTATAGGCCAAACAAAAGCTTACTATTTTTGGTAAAAAAAAAATAAAATTTCAATTTTGAATATTATTCCTAATCCATTCTCTATTTTTCTTTAAATAGAGCAATTTCCTTTTAAGTGGAAGTAGTTGCATCTTCACATCTACTTGAAAATGCAATTAGATAGAAATATAATACGCTACAGCTGGAAAATGAACAATCCGTTTTTTCTCTTCCTAGACAAGGTCACACTGCTAAGCACACTCAAGTTTAGCGTGATACAGAAGTTAAGCCATAAATCCAATGAGATGGAAGACTCTGGCACCCAAGGCACAAGCAAGGCCCAGTGTCAGAGGGCTCACACTCAATTCTCTGTTTTCTTTAAAAATTCTCAGTCTTTATTAACAAATAACCTCTTTCTTAGAAAAAAAAAGTACAGTATTTTACATACCAGATAAACAAAAGACACTGTCATTTTTAAACCAAAACATATTTAGGGAAAAAAATTGTAAGTGAAACTAATTTGCTACATATGTTTTATACATACAGTACATTAGGGGGTTTCTCTGACGCCATATGGAAAGCATCTGAACTAGCAAGACAATGACCTTCATAAATCACTCTAGGCTCCAGCTCCAAATTATGTCTTGTTCCCTCACTCATGGGATAGTCACTATATCTCATATAAATTCATTATGTTATATGTGCACAATAATCTAACTCTACCTTTATAAGGAATGATGTCATAACATACAGGCAAGGTTTTCCAGAGAAAGGAACAAGCTCTCCCACCAGATGGGCCAACCTATAGTACTGCTTCTCCAAACACAATATGTTCCATGATGCAGCTTATCCATGCTGCTAGAAGGAAAAGCAAATTAATGGAGAAAGAAATTATAATCTTAGAACAAAATGTTTTCCGAGCCTTCCTGATTTCTTCTTTTTTCAAGATAAATGTAAAATAAAATAGCCTTATATATTTCACATACTTTCTTTTTATATATTTCCCATTTATAGCCATTAAAAAGGAATCTATGTTCTGTCTAGTTATTTTTATCTGTGTTGAATCATCAGCCATGGTTCTAGCAGGTTTTTATCTTAACAGTTATCTTACCATGACAAAGGTTTGAATCAAGGGAATAGTCACTGGTTACGGGGAAAGGGAAATAGATATAGTCTACCCTCCAGACTCTTTTTACATGAAGGTTGCCTCTTCCTATCTTCCTTTCTGATCCAGTCTGTCTTTTGCTTTCTGTAGTTGAAGAGTGCAGGTTCATCTGTCCTCTTGTTCACTTCCAGCCACTTAGGGAAGTGAGCACTGAGCTTAGATGACTAGAACTTGTTGGTCCTTCTTGCTTTATCCATAAGCTGAAATGAAACAACAAAAACAAAACCATGTGTAAACCTATTTAAGGGCTACTTTTCAGTCCTTTGAAATTATCTCCCTTTCTTTACTTCTAGCTCTCTTTCACTCTAGGCCAAAGATCAAACAAGTAACATAAAGGAATGAAGAGACCACAATAAATACATGTCAAATGAATTAAACGAATGTAAATGGCTAGAATGAGGAGTTATTATGAGAATGACATCCTGGATAAATTATGCTCCATCTGAGATGGGCAGCTCTGAAAACTTGTTGCATCTTAGAATGGCTTGGTGGGGGTGGGGAAGGCACTATATAGGCCAACATGTACAGACTGAAAAATTATGTCTACAGGATGGTTTAGGCCTGAAAAACAAAAGTATGCAACCTCTAACCCAGAAGTTAAGATTTGCTGGAGAAAGAAGGTATAGTTGGAAATACAGGATCTAAATCACCTCTAACTGCATTATAATTTGAGGTTTTGTTATAAATATCTGAAGATATCAGTAAAGAATACCAAAGCAGTGGACTCCAAGAACATCAAAAACATGAGTAATCTCTAATGGTCAAATTTTTCATGAGAATATCAGGAGTAGGATATTTGGTAGTAAATTTATATCTGAATGTATCTTCTGTTTTTTAAAAAATTGTGATAAAAAAATTAAGACTTTTAGAACCCCTAATTACTAAAAGTATTTTGAAAAGCCTGCAGACTCATATAATTAAGCATGCACACACACAGAGAGCACTAAGTGTAAGGAAGTGCCACAATGTCTGATTTTTCTACTATAACTTTGATGCTTCTCTTGAAAAATTAAATTTCTAAAAAATAAATGTCCTTAATGTCCCTGTTTTTTTCAAATTCTGACTAGAAATTCAGCACTATTGGGAAGAAAATGTTTGCACACAAATGCTATGTCAAATATTGTAAAGATTCTCCCCCTATTACGAAGAAACTAAAATAGTACAGTACCATATTCTAAAATAATATCAATATTGCTTTATTAATAATTATATTTTATACTGGGCATAAATTTATAAGGTGAGGCCAATAACTACATGTATATGTGTTCATAACTATCTCCATATTTAAATTTACTTCCAAAAATTACCAACAATTTTAATCATTTCATGAAATTACTGCATCATTCTCTACTTCTAGCTATGAGGGAATAAGAGGGTCCAGAATAACCCTCTCCATAAATAACTAGAAAGCTAGATAAAAATGGTGAAACAATTGTGTTTAGACATGGACAACAATGCAGGACTGTGATCCCTAAGAGAAAAATGGAAACAAATGAGATGACCCTACAATTAACCCAGATGTTGCCTGGGGACCACTTTTAACCATAGACGAATGATGCAAAATGCAAACACAGACCAGAAGACTTGCTGAGTTAAGGATATATAAAAGAGTTAAGGGAGGCAATAATGCCTAGAATTTGTGGAGCAGAGTACTAAAGAGCAAGAAAAAGGTTAAAGACATTTTTCATAAGTGTTCCCTGAGATTTTGGCTGAATAACAAATCTGCGTGGGGAGAAAGATGGCGGACAAAAAAACACCACCAGACAGAGTGTCTCTGCAGAAAAGACAGACTCTAGGAGAAATTAGAAGAAAGAAGCTAGCAGACAAGTGTACATCAGATGAGGGTCAGAAAGAGGGGTACCTGAGACCATGGGAGACTCCACGGGAGGAGGTTACGGAGGAGAACTGGAAGGAGAGACCTTCCGAGTTGCCTGGAGACCAGCAGTAAGGGTAAGTGGAGTCGTAAACTCTCCCCTCCCTTGCATCTCAGACTGCTGATAGGCTCCCCAGCAGGTGGAGAGACCAGTGGGCACCAGCCCAGAGATGGCCACCACGAGTGAGTGGTAAGCCTGTAGCAGATGCAGCACTAGGCTCCTAACACCCTCGGGGCACCTCCGGGCACACAGACCTGAGCCAGGACACAGGCACCATATTGCTCCATACTCCCCTCCCCCATCCCTATCCACATCTGCCAGGACAGAAAATTTAGCCACCAGCCAGAGACATCCCCAGGGAATGGGAACCTCCCTTTGGGGGCCCTACAGCTGACTGAGGGGTACTCAGACAGTAAGCACCCTACCCGCCAGCCCTCTCAGGTGCTGCTGGCCCAGTGATTCCAGGAGAACGGGGCAGACCCTGAGGCTGAGAGACATCGACCCACATTGGGCTCCCCGTGGGTGATTTAGGACTGGCACTCCTCTCCCTGGTGGGGTTAGGGATTGAACTCTAGGGCCCAGAGGTCAGACCTGCAGACCAGATCCCATGCAACCAGGTCTCACATTGCCCAGGGCACAGAAGGGATATTAGTGAACAGCCTACGGAGGTATGTGCCTTCAGGGGCAAATAAACTTGCTTGAGGGCAACCCTCCTCCCAAAGGGGGGCCGTGTGCCCAGCCCAGGCGACAATCCTGCACAGGGAACCTCCCGGCCAGCATCAAAGCCAGGGGAGGCCCAGTGACATGAGGTCTGGCCTGCTGGCAGAGGCCCAGGAGTAGCCGTGGAGATGGGACAGTGGAAAGGAGTGAGGCCCACTCCAGACTGCGGGTATCAGATGGCCCCACCCTCACATGCAGACATTCTGACTGAGTGGGGCCATTCTAGCCCCTCCCTGACAGCTTTTCCCAGAAACAGAGAACAGAACTTTGACCCCTGCTAACAGCATTTGTGGTACCTGAGGGCAGGCTTACCCAACCCAGCTCCACCCAGACTCACTCCCAGACCAGCCTTCACTGAGGGGGAGAATAAGAACACACCTGGAAGTCTCAGTGCCCCACCCACCACCGCAGGCACCAGAGAGACTCTCCAGAGAAACAAGAACTGGATACAAGACCAAAAAACAACAGTGTAGCCTGTTCCTCCCATCAAGCACCACCTACTAATAGGGACGACATTCTGCACACCCTTTTCACGGTACCTACTGACTCATCATACAGGGTGTGGTCGAATATCACCCACAAACATCACCTACTGGATCAGAGACAAAACAAGATATCTCATTTCTCAACCAAAAACCTAAAGGCAAGAAGCAACAACTGATCCAGATGGGAAGAAATCAGGGAGGAACTCTAGAAATATGAAGAACCAAATAGAAAGCACATCCCTAAAGAGGTGCACCAGCCCATCAGAAATGGACACAAACCAAAATCAGACCACTAAAATGACAGAAGAATTTCGAACCTGGAACATAAGAAAATTCAATGACTTGCAAAAACAACTGGATAACCAACACAAAAAATGCAAAAAGATTCCAGGACCTGAAACAAAAATTCACTAAAGAATTTGAAACATGAAGAAAAATCTAACTGAACTGGAAATGGTGAATAAATTCAGGAAACTACAAAACACAGTAGAAAGCCACAAAACACAGTAGAAAGCCTCAAAACAGGGTAGCTCAAAAAGAAGAAAGAATCTAAGAGATTGAAGATAATACCTAACAATTAAATAAATCAGTCACAGAGATAGAGCAGAGAAACAGGAGAAAAGAGCAAAGCCTACAAGCCATGTGGGATTATGTGAAGAAACCTAATGTGAGTGTCATAGGGTTACCAGAAGGGGAAGAAAAAACACTCAAGGCTTGAACAAGCTATTTGAAGAATAATAGAGGAAAATTTCCCAGGCCTTGCTAAAAATCTCCAGATACAAGTTAAAGGGCAAAGGATCCCTGGGAGATTAAATGCAAACAAGAAGACATCACAACATGCAGTCATCAGATTGACCAAAATATCCACTAAAGAGGCCCTTCTATAAGCTGTAAGATGAAAGAAGCAAGTCACATACAAAGGAAAGCCAATCCGAATAACACCATAATTCCCTACTAAAACTTTACAAGCAAGGAGTGACTGGGGCCTCATTCTTACTCATATCACACAGAATAATGCCCAGCCTAGAATCTTATTCCCTCAAAACTAGGTTTTGGGCCGGGCACAGTGGCTCATGCCTGTAATCCTAGCACTCTAGGAGGCCGAGGCAGGCAGATTGCGCGAGGTCAGGAGTTCAAAACCAGCCTGAGCAAGAGTGAGACCCCATCTCTACTATAAATAGAAAGAAATTAATTGGCCAACTAATATATATAGAAAAAATTAGCCGGGCATGGTGACACATGCCTGTAATCCCAGCTAATTTAGGAGGCTGAGGCAGCAGGATTGCTTGAGCTCAGGAGATTGAGGTTGCTGTGAGCTAGGCTGACGCCACGGCACTCACTCTAGCCTGGGCAACAAATTGAGATTCTTTCTCAAAAAAAACCAAAAAGCTAAGTTTTGTATATGAAGGAGAAATCAAGACATTCTCAGATTAGCAAAGACTAAGGGAATTTACCAAGACAAGACTAGCCCTCCAAGAAGTACTAAAAACAGTGTTACCCACGGATCAGCACGATAAACACTCACAAATGTAAATCTACTCAAAGCTAAAGATCAAAGTCCAGATATCACAATGGCTCAAGAAAGAAAACAAAGCAACAAAGTTCAACCCAACATAATGAACAGAAATCTGCCCCACCTATCAGTCATCTCAATAAATGTGAATGGCTTGAACTCCCCACTCAAGAAACATAGGCTGGCCGAATGGATAAAATAACACAAGCCAAGTATCTGCTGCCTTCAAGAAACACATCTAACCTGAAAGGATGCAGTTACACTAAAGGTAAAGGGGTAGAGAACAATATTTCAAGCAAACGGAAGCCAAAAGAAAGCTGGCGTGACGGTACTGATTACGATAACTTAGTTTTTAAATCAACAAAAGTAATAAAAGACAAAAATGATCACTATATAATGGTGAAGGATACAGTTCAACAAGAAGACATAACAATTCTAAATATACATGCACCCAACCTAGGTGCACCCAGATTCATAAAGCAAACTCTACTTGACCTAAACAAATGGATAAACAACACTACCATAATAGTCAGAGACTTTAACACCCCACTGACAGCACAGGACAGATCCTCCAAACAGAAAATCAACAAAGAAATAATGGACTTAAACAGAACTCTAGAACAAATGGGACTCACTGACATTTACAGGACATTCTACTCCAAAGCCACTGAATATACGTTCTTCTCATCAGCTCATGGGTCATTCTCTAAGACTGACCATATCCTAGGACACAAAGCATGTCTCAAACAATTTTAAAAAATAGAAATTATACCGTGTACCTTTACAGACCACAATGGAATAAATGTAGAAATTAATCATAACAGAAGGTCTCATTTCTACACAAAGTCATTTAAACTAAACAACCTTCTGCTGAATGATCACTTCATAAATGAGGAAATCAAGATGGAAATCAAAAGATTCTTTGAACTAAATGACAAAGGAGACACAAGTTATCAAAACCTGTGGGACACAGCTAAAGCAGTCCTGAGAGGAAAGTTTATTTCCATAAATGCCTATATCCAAAAGTTGAAAAGATCACAAATAGACAACCTAATGAATCATCTCAAAGAGTTGAAAAAAGACGAACAGACCAACCCCAAACTCAGCAGAAGACGTGAAATCATTAAGATCAAATCAGAACTAAATGAAATTGACAAAAGGGAAACCATATAGAAGATTAATAAAACTAAAGTTAGTTCTTTGAAAAGATAAAGAAAATTGACACACCATTGGCTAAACGAACGAAAAACAGAAAAGAAAAATCTCTAATAAGCTCCATCAGGAAAATAAAGGAGAAATTACAACGGATGCCCCAGAGATACAAGATATAGTTTATGAATACTACAAAAACCTCTATGCACACAAACTGGAAAATGTGGAGGAAATGGACAATTTCTTAGAAACACACAGCCACCCCAGGCTAAACCAGGAAGAAATAGAATTCCTGAACAGACCAATAACAAGTACTGAAATTGAAACAGCAATAAAAAACCTTCCTAAAAAGAAAAGTCCTGGACCAGATGGTTTCACACCCAAATTTAACACACCTACAAAGACGAACTGGTGCCTATCCTGCAGAAATTATTCCACAACATCAAGAAGGATGGAATCCTCCTGAACACCTTTTATGAAGCGAACATATACCTGATACCAAAACCAGGAAAGGATGCAACAAAAAAAGAAAACTACAGACCAGTATCCCTTATGAATATAGATGCAAAAATTCTCAACAAAATCCTAGCCAAAGTGAATCCAGGTGGTTGTAAAGACAATAATTCATCACAACCAAGTGGGCTTCATCCCAGGGATGCAGGGATGGTTCAATATACGCAAATCTATAAATGGAATTCACCTCTCACAAAAATCAACTCATGCTGGCTAACAGACTTGAACCTTAGGTGTGAAACTATTAGAATTATAGAGGAAAATATTAGAAATACTCTTCTAGACATTTGCCTAGGCAAGGAATTTATGAAGAAGACCCCAAGGGCAATCACAGCAGCAACAAAAATAAACAAATGGGACCTGATCTAATTAAAAAACTTCTGCACAGCCAAAGAAACTGTCAAGGCAGCAAATAGACAACCCACAGAATGGGAGAAAATTTTCACAAGATACAAATCTGATAAAGGGCTGATAACTAGAATTTATTCAGAACTCAGGAAAATCAGCCAGAAAAACTCAAACAACCCCATCAAAAAATGGGCAAAGGACATGAACAGAAACTTCTCAAAAGAAGATAGAATAATGGCCAACAAACATATGAAACAATGCTCAACATCTCTAATCATCAGGGAAATGCAAAAACAAACTTCAATGAGATATCACTTAACTCCAGTGAGAATGGCCTTTATAAAAAAGTCCCCAAAGAATAAATGCTGGCATGGATGCAGACAGAGAGGAACATTCCTACACTGCTGGTGGTACTGCAAAGTAGTTCAACCTCTGTGGAAAGCAATATGGAGATATCTCAAAGGGATACATACGGATCTACCATTTGATCCAGCAACTCCACTACTGGGCATCTACCCAAAAGATCAAATGACACTCTACAAAACAGACACCTGCACTCGAATGTTTATAGCAGCACAATTCACAATTGCAAAGCTGTGGAAACAACCCAAGTGCCCATCAGTTCATGAGTGGATTAATAAACTGTGGTATATGTATATCATTGAGTACTACTCAGCTTTAAGAAACAATGGTGATATAGCACCTCTTGTATATTCCTGGATAGAGTGGAACCCATTCTACTAAGTGAAGTATCTCAACAATGGAAAAACAATCACCACATGTACTCACCAGCAAATTGGTATTAACAGATCAACTCCTAAGTGGACATATAGAAATAACATTTATCAGGTGCCGGGCAGGTGGGAGGGGGGAGGAGATGGGTATATACAAACACAATGAGTAAGAGGTGCCACGTTTGGGGGATGGACACACTTGAAGCTCTGACTCAAGGGGGTAGGGAGAGCATGGGAATATATGTAAATATCAAGGAGTGCAATTGCTCAAATGTATGGTCGTTCCTTACTTAGTTCCTTGAGAAACTTCCATCATGTTTTCCAGAATAGTCGTACCATTTTACATTCCCACTAACAATGTATATCCAGTTTCTCCACATCTACACCAGGATTTGTTGTCGCTATTTTTAATTTTAGGCATGGGTGAAGTGATAGGCAATTATGATGTTAATTTGTATTTCTCAGGTGGCTACTGGTGTCATATATCTTTTCATGTGATTATTTTCCATCTGTCTATCTTTTCAGCAAAATGTTTGTTCATGTATTTTGCCCATTTTCTAAGTGGATTATTTGTTTTTCTGTTGAGTTTTGAGAATTTTTATATATATATATATGTATAAACTTTGTCAGATACGTCATTTGCAAATACAATCTCCCATTCTACAGTCTCTCTTTTCATCTTCATGTGGACTTTCACCAAGTAAAATTTTAAAACACATCTGATGAGGTCCAATATATCAATTTTTATGGATCATGTTTTTGATGTTAAGTCTAAGAACTCTTTGCCTAGACCAATTTTCTCCTTCGTTTTCCCCTAAAATTTTCATAGTTTTACATTTTAAATTTAAGAATGTGATTTATTTTGAATTGATTTTGGCTTATGGTGTAAGGTTTGGATTGAGGTCCTGATTTGCCTCTGAATGTTCAAATGCTCCAGCACCATTTGTTGAAAAGATTATCGTTTCTTCACTGAATTACTTTAAAACTTTTATCAAAAATCAGTTGAGCATATTTGGGTTCTATACTATACTCCACTGACCTTTATGTCCACCCCTATGCCATGGCCATACTGTCTTGATTGCTATTGCTGTATAGTAAGTGTCAATATAGGGTAGAGTGATTCTGCTGTCTATGGATAATATGTTATAGATATGTTAATTGGATCCTATAGGTAATATTCAAATCTTGCTGATTTTCTATCTGGTATTTCTATCAAGTGATGAGGAAGAGTGTTGAAGTTTCTAACAATAATTATTGATTTTCTTATTTCTGCTTTCAGCTCTTTTTATTATTGCTTCATGTATTTTGAGGTTCTGTTGTTTGGCACGTTTAGGATTGTTAGTCTTTCTGGTGGGCAATATCTTTTTTTAATTATATAATACCCACACTGTTTGTAGCAATTTTCTTTACTCTGAATTCTACTTAATCAGATATCGTTATAGCAATTCTTATATTTTAAAATCAGTATCTGCATGTCAAACCTTTTTTCCATCCTTTTACTTTCAAACTACATAACTCATTGAATTCTAAGTTGTCTATTTCATACAAACAGACAATAGTTGGGTTGTATTTTCTTATCCACTCTGCCAATCTCTCTTTTGATTGGTATATTTAGATGATTTATATTTAAAATAATTACTGATATGCTAGCACTCATATGTGCCATTTTATTACTTGCTTTTTGTTTCCTTTGCCTCTCATTCTGAATTTTTTTCTTTTCTTACTGTCCTGTGTATAACTTGATCATTATATAGGATTCAACATTGATTTATTTATAGTGTTTATGAGTATATCTCTCTGTGTAGTTCTCTTAGAAGGTGAACAGGGTATTGTGATATACATATGTAAACTATACAGTCCACTGAAAATCAACATTTTACCTGTGCAAATTAGTGTGTAAACCTCACTTTCACTTAGAATCCTTTACCTTCCCACTTTTTTTTTGAGAATTACCTTGTGCCAGGCACATTCTTTATATTTGTAATTTTGTTTAATGTTCTTGACAATCTTATAAGGCAAACATATTATTGTCCTTATTTGTCAAATATAAGTGATTTTGCTCAAGGTCATGTGGGCAGTAAGTGGCAGAACCAAATCCTTGTTTGTTTGTTTGTTTGTTTGTTTGTTTGTTTGTTTGTTAAAAAGTCTCACTCTGTTGCCCAAGCCAAAATGCAGTGGTGTCATCACAGCTCATTGCATCCTCCAACTCCCAGCTCCGGTGATTCTCCTGCCTCAGCCTCCCCACCATACCCAGCTAAGTTTCCTATTTTTGTAGAGATGGGGTCTCACCATGTTGCTCAGGCAGGCCTTAAACTCCTGGGCTCAAGTGATCCTCCCATCTTAGCCTCCCAAGTCACTGGGATTATAGGCCTGAGGTACCCTGTCTGGTAGAATCAAAATCTTTCAGCACTCAGAGCCTGTGCTCTTAACCACTATGATGGTTCCACTAATAGATGAGGAAGAAGAAAAGAAAGAGGAAGGAGCTTGTAAAGAGGCCACAGGAAGAACAGGAGATGGTGATGATACTATTAATTTTATAATTATCAATATATAATCTTCTTCTCTCCACCTGGACTACCTCATCCCTGGGACACCTTTCCTCATGCCCATTTCTCTGCCTAGGAACTTCTATTTGTTCTTTAAGAACTTGACTCAGATGTCAGCTCCTCTAAGATGCCTTCCCATATCCCATCTCCCCAAACCTCCAACTCCCTGGAATCCCACACAAATTTGCTCAGATTTCTATTATAGCCCAAGTTATACTATAAAGTGTTCATTTTCATACCTCCTCCTTGTACTAAATTCATAACTCCTTGAGGGCAAGGACCATGTCTAATTATTCCTGTGCTTCCAGTGCTTGGCTCAGCTCATTGTAGGTGCTCAGGAAAAGTGAGATTGAATGACTCAGCATCACACCTCGAGGACCCTCTGTCTTACCAGGTACTATGCTAAGAGATGTAAAGTTAAAAAGATCAGACCTTGGGCTCCTTAAAGTTCATAAACAAATTGAGGATGTGTTCCTATCTTTTAATCTACATTATAGAAACCCAACACAAATTAGCTTAACAGGAAAAAAAGAACGTGAGCAGGTAACAGAATTTATTTGTCCTAGGCAGGTTACTTCTATTAATAGTTTCAGGAATAGCTGAATCTAAGATCCAAGGGTTTCCAACCATGTTGTCCTACAGATTAGGTTTCTTTCTATAAACTGCTCTTGGGTGGCTTCAGCCTCAGCAATTTTTTTTCCACGTGAAAGCCCCTCAGAACTCCATGTTTACATCTAATTGTTGCAAAAATAGAGCTTTTTATTTAATGGTTCCAGCAAAAGTCCTAGGAGTAATTCTCAATGCTTTTAGTTGAGTCACCTGCCCTTCACTGAACCCATTATAGTAACTCTGAATAGGCCTATGTCACATGCCTACCTCTGGATTTGGAAGTGGGGTTGACCCCATCCAAATCATATGGATTAAAAGTGAGGGAAGGTTGTTCACCAGAGGAAAATCAAGTCGCCATTACTAAAACGGGGACAAGATATTAGGCAAGCAAAAACCAACACATGTCCTCCATAAAGGAAATATAATAAATTACATATGTAATTTTAAATTTTCTACTAGCTACATGAAAAAAACTGAAGTAAAACAAGTAAAATTAATTTTAATAACATATTTTTATTTAACATTTTAACTAACACATCCAAATGTATTATTTAACATATAATCAATAAAGAAAATATTAACATACTATTTCACCTTCTTGTTTGTTGCTCCCTGTAGAATCCAGTGTGCTATGCACTTACAGCACCAGGAGACGAGACCGGAAGAGGAGACACATGAACCTCAGTTCAGACTAGCTGTACTTCAAGGGCTCAGCAGGCACATGGGGCAAGTGGGCTCCTATTGGAAAACACAGGCCTAGAGCAATGCCTGGCACATAGTTGACACTAAATAAATATTATTGAATACACAAAAGATTCTCCCTGATGCCTTTGCCACACAGAATGAAACCCTCAACAGAACAGAAGTGAGTTAATAAGGGAATTTGTTCTGGCCAGCCAAAAAACAAAGATGAAGATCCCTACAACAACTATCCCAGAAGACAGAAAGGACTTAGTTGTACAGAACGAGAGCTATGGCAAATTTCATGAATGCCATTTTCTTGGAAGGGAAAGCCAAATATATTGTGATAGTGGTTTGGAATTAAATAATGACCTTAATAGAGTTTATTTTCAAAGAATAATCTAATTCTTATCCTAGACTTCTTCTAGAGTCTGAAGTCACAGACATGAGAATATAACTTCTGCAAATCTATGCTCCTGAATATGAGGAAAAAGCTTACCCCAGAAAAGACTGTAGTCCAGCTGTGGGGCAAATTCTCATGCTTTACAACATTTTTTATGTTCTAAAAAAACAAACAAACAAAACAAAACACATGGGTTTGTCTGGCAGATGCTGGAGAACAGCTTCTGCTCATAGACCTCAAATGCACTGGGACAAATTAAAACATGAAAGGTAGTCCATGCCTTTATGGCCTCCATTACCACCATGTTCACCCCCTGGGTTCTTGTACGGCCACTTCATGGGTCCCCAAGTCTGGCATGCTTACTTAGTGCCAGGAACATGATTGTGTAAGTGAAGTTCTCCAATACAAACACACCATTAGCTCATTCTAAATTGAATGATCACTAATCTCTCATAATTTATCATGCATGAATGCTATAGCACTTCTTGAAGTGCCAAAACAAACTGTCAACAGCTTTAAAATATAGCAGCCAATTAATCTGTTTAAAGCAAGTCCTAGGATTTTCCTTTTCATTAGCATTATGAATGAGGAAGCTGCTTCATTTCCTAAATACTCATACCAAGAGGTGCCTTGTCTAACCTACTTCTTTTTTCAAAATGACATTGGACCACAGTTTGTAACCTAACTTGGGTTCACTAGTCACAAGTCTGTCCACTTTGTACAATAATTTCATACTGAAACATGTCAAACAATTTCTGCTTTGATAGAGCCTTCAGAGGACACTTTGAGGAAACTTCTACAAGTCTGAAATAACAGATTTCCCTTATGAATAATTTCCTTTATGAAATTAGGAGATTAAGATGACAATACAAAATTATGAACTGTTTAAAAGATTAGCTATAAATCCTTGCACTGCCTTGATATTTGACTTAGGAAAAAAAGTGTTTTTGTACAACTTAATTTTCCTTCTAAGATCAATGAACACTTTTACTTCTCATAGTTATTATAATAAAACCTTCCTTTGAATTCTCCTAAATCTCTTTTGATGAAAGATTTGAGAATATAAAGAAAATATAGAGTATTAATTAAACTACCACCAGAAAGTCTACATCTCATTGTAACACAATTTGTGCCCTCAATGCTTTAGGGGCCCAAAATAACCAGCAGCAGGAGAGATCTTTCCAAATAGAACAGCCCAGAAGATGCGAACTACTGAATGCTCCAGTGCTGGCATCATGTTGAATGGAATCTTATTGTCTCTTACGTTCTATTTTTGCTTGAAGTCTGAGTCAATGCTCCTACATCATAAATTGTTAAGTGTGGTTTTTTTTTTCTTAATTCAGAAGGAAGTGTTGGGAAAGGGATCAATCTGACTTTAGGAAACTCTCTTTAGAAATAAAGACATATTCCATGCAGGTATGGCCTCAATCCAACTTCCATACAAAATGAAAATTCCTTTCAGTAGTATATAATGGAACCCAAGCCACTCAAACCTTTATACCTTTCTAATACAACCATTCCGAAGTTAACTTCATATTTTACCTCCATGTACTTTAATATCTATCTCTTCAAAATACTTTCCCCTTGCTCATTGACTCTGACTCCCTGGTGGACACTTAAGGAATATATAAGCAATTTCTGCATGTGTTGTTGATGCTTACATTATTCATAGCTAAAAATGGTTTCATTTTACCAGAAATTGTTACCTAAAAAGAACAGAAGCACCTTACCAATGACTTGCCAATAACAGGAAGTTCTCTTACAGGTGATTACTTAGATCCAGATATACCACAGAAGCAAAACATTACACAATAAAGAGAAAAATTTGAAATAATTTTCAATGTGATAGCTATCTAGTTACATGTATATTTTATGGAATAAAATTTGGTCTATTACATTGAATCAATTTTTTAAACTTTGAAATTTTAATGAATTTTTTTCTCTAGCAATAAAATACATTTTTGAAGCATTGGTCATTTCTCTAATAAATAACATTAACATATAAATATAGGTATACATGGGTATGTATGTTTAGTGGCAGTTATCCACTCACTTTATAGCAAATTCTCTGTACCTTCATTCCTTTTGGTTTTTACAACCTGTCCTTACTCTCTGCCCTCTCTCTCACTTCCTTATTATGTAGATTGTTTTAACCTCCTGCAGAATTCACCACTTTCTCTCAGATTTTGCATCACAAATATCTAGGAGCTGATCTAGGATTGAGGAACCTATAAAATTATGGGTTCCTTTTAGTAATCTAGGAAAGAGGGGAGACATTTGGAAAGGTTAATGCAACCACACTAGTAAATTATATTTCATACAATTAACAAATGATGATAAAGACTATGAAAAAAAATGCTGTTTTGAGAGAAAATACAGATAGAGAGATGAGTCTGAGAACCACTTCTCCACAGAAGTCTAATTTGAGCTGAGATGAGACCTGAAAAATAAACAATTTTTGTCAATATCCTCATAGTGCAGTTAGAATAATAGGGCAGTAATAGCCATTAAACATTCTATCAATTGACTGAGAAGATGACCTACACAATTTACCTTTCGTGTCACATTTCGATCCAGAGACCCTCCTAGAAATAAAACAATACCTAACACACTATTGGTCACAAACTGGTAGGCAGACCATATGAAGTTGCTGGTACCTGAACAGTTTTTTTGTTTTTGGGGGGGTTTTTAACCTATAACAACCTAAAATAGAAAAATGGAAACAAACAAACAAAATTCTCCTTGCAGCCTATTTACATGCCTTTCATCCCCACATTAAGTGACTGTAACATCAGAATAGTCTGTGGAAATTCTCTACCTTGTCCAACTTGTCCCATATCCAGAGGTATACAGTGTTAAGCAATGGCCTAGATCCTGGAAAGAATTCAGTTTCCAAAGGCACTTAATTCTTCCACCTGGAAGAGAAATTGCATATTGTTGCCCACTTAAAGTTCAGGGTAATGGTTGACACCCAGAAAATCTAAAACAGTAAAAATGTGACCTCTAATAATCTTTGCTACTTATCTCTGGTGGGGTTCAGGACAAACTACCCCAAAATACACCACCTAGACATATTGATTATTTTAAGCTGGAGAAAACAGCAGAAGCAGGAAAGTCTCTCTGACTTTCTGCCTCCCTGAACCTCTCCCCTAAAGCAGGTCATAAAATCTTGGAAGGATTTTCTGACCTTCCCCTGAAGTAAGTCATAATATTTGCATGCATGAGGTGCCCTCCCTAGACATAGAGGAAAGGAATATCCCCACTCTGAAAGATGGGGCACACAGAAGAATCTGGACCAACAGGGCTTGCTAAGTCCCCCTATTTCATTACCACTTGATCAGACTCCTTTTGCCCTATCCTATTTCCCCATGACTCTCCACTCTTCACTAAACCTACTGTTAAACACACTCATGTTTAACTGTTTCATCACCTCTTCATTTCCTCATAAAGGCTCACATGTCATGTAAAGCTTATATTAAATAAACTTGCATGCTTTTCTCTTGTTAATTCATCTTTGTTATAGGGGACTCCACCTTGAATCCAAGGTGGGTGCAGAAAAGATATTTTTCCTCCCCTATATCTTGCTCCCCCCAACATATTTTTCTCCTGTGGTCTTCACCATGGGCAGGTTATAAATGTATATTTTAGATCATACAGAGTAACAACCCTGAAATCAAGATTACCTATTGATTGGTTATTTTACTTTTTTGTTTGGCTGCATTTGGAGAGCTCAAAAATAAATGTATGTGCTGGTAACAATTATTCACATAGGCATATTAACATGAGTTAGCCTACCAAATAGACACAAATGAGCAATAATGTAAAGGCATGAATGGAAAAAAGTATTTTCCTTAATGCAATGTTTACCTCAAAGACTCAGATAACTGCATATAATTTTGGAAATATTTGCTTGGATGCATGGGAGGGTGTGGGACTAGTGAGTTAACTTGTTATGGCTGCTTATACCCTCTACTAGGTCTTGTTTTATATGTTGGAAAATTGGTCACTAAAAATTAGGACAGTAATTAACACTAACCATTTCTATAGTCCTGATAGAACATACCTCATCCAATGTGTACATAAATTAAATGAAAACTAAAGGCATTTTCTGAAAACATTCAATATGTGACAGAACACCAGAAATGACTGAAATAGTAAGACCCTTAAAAAATATATACCAAAATTGCCAGGACTTCTGGACTTAGTCTGGTGTTTCTTTGCCTCAAAGCACTATAAAAACAAGAAACAATATGTTGTTTCTTTGGAAGGAGTAATGCTTGTTATCCCCACATATTATCCCCCTCCATAAACAGAAGGGCAAAACTCCCACTGGGCAGTGTGTCCAGTTTCCCAAAGTCTTTGCTCCTCCTACACGCACAAGGGCTAATGGCTAGACTTTACAGTATTGCCAATAAACAACAACAACAACAAAAAGCCACTTTTGTTCTAGGGAAATTTAATTCAAGAAATAAAAACTGAGGCACATCAGGACTAAATAGTAACTTATTAATCATTGTCAGTAGTGTGTTACTAATTATAATTAAAGCTGCCATTGTTTAGAGCTAACCACATGCCAGATAACGTGCTAAGATGTTACATACACTAACTCATGTTAGTCCTCAAACAGGTCTGCAACTCTGATATTGTTTTTCCTATTTTACGGAATGACAAACTTTAAGAAACAAATGATCTTATCACAAAGCTAGTAAGTAATAAAGCAAAAAAGTTAAATCATTCCACTATACTGCCTCTTCAGTAATATATGTCATTTTTCAGTATGTGCTATGTGACACTCACTTACTACATTGTATCTTTTAATACTGACCACACAAAATACTTTAATAACTTCATTTTATAGCTATGGCAACAAGATTAAAGGTGGTCAGTAATTTGCCAAAGTTGATAGCACAAGCAGGAAAATAGCAGAGACTTGATTTGATTTGAGGCCTATATTTTTCTTGAGACCTGCTATTTCTTTCATGCTTTCAGAAAGGTTCAGAGAAACCAATATTTTAAATCCATGGGGCTTGGTTTTTAACACCCTTCCTTGTCAAAGCCTCATTCATCCACCAGTCATTAGCACACTTATTTCCAGACTTATTCCCAGTTCTTTAGATGTAATAATTTGTCCCCTGTGATCATTACAAACACCATCGACATACAATTACCTAAGCTTCGGACTGTTCAATCTATTGGAATGTCGCTGAATGCCCTGGGACTTACGCTCCCACTTTTAACTATCACATCATTAACAATTATTAATGTGAGAGCCAGAGTGGGTGTTTCAATATAAACAGCCTCAGTGACTAAATAACCAAACGCTCATAGATTCTAGCTACCAGAGCAGACAGACACAGGCTCTGCTAAGAATAGCTCTGATCACAGCCAGAGCGAGTCCTTGGAGAGTTTTGAATTGATATATGATAAGGTAGTTTAAGGCACTACATTTTTGAGAAGTTAACTTATTTATCTCTTCCATGCTTGAAATTTAACTTCTGGTTTTAATTTAAAATCATCATAAACTATTTATAACTTATCAGCAAAACGTACATTTACAGAAAGTCAATCCTAGGTCACAGAATAATTTTCTCGTTTTGTTTTAGGAGGGGGAAAAATGAGTCCAGAGCATCAACATGAAAAACCATTAAACATGTGTTCTTTTCTTTCTCTTCATCCCTGAATTGCAAAATGAAGAAATTTTATTCTCCCTTCAGTTTGTATATTTTATAGCAGATCCAAATTTGGGTTAACCTTTTATAAAGATATTTTGGCTTTAGCATAGGCTCTCTGCCTAATGGTCAAGTTACATCCTTACCGGAACTTGATGTGAATCGCTTCCTATCCATGGCCCGCAGTCAATCTCTCTTCTTAGATAAAGTGATGCAAAGCAATAAAATTTTAAACCTGAACTCAGTATATGACTAGTTGTGAAATAAAATTTCTTGATCATTTTGGTTTATCTTGAAACTGACAGACAGGTGTGCATTATTCTTCCAGAGGTTTACAATGAGGTCAGAAGAAAAATACAATACTTTGTACATTCCACTAACACTATGAACTGGATTCTTGTAACATACAGCTGTTCCCAATTTCTATGAACAGATACTATACTCTGGATCACAGAGCTTTGTTTTTAAATTTAAAAATGACTTAGAATGAAAAGCAAAATCACAAAGAGCAGAGCACAACATAGCTCAGGATCCAAAACAACAAAAAATATATATATATTTTTTTAGGTAGAGGTAAAGGATACACAAATTTTGGTAAAATATTTGCTTGGGCAGTTGCAAATGTGGGGGGGTAAGGAATGGGTTATTTATTTATGCACAGAAAACACTGAGGGCCATCCATATGTGAGAAACGTTGATCCAAGAAATGGGGACATTTGTGACAAATATGACAAAAATTATTTATAGCCCTGATAGATCATTTGGTCTATAAGGGAAGCTAAACATCAACAAATAATTACAAAATAAATATTTAAACCTAACTGAGAGAACTTATAGAAAAGTTCAGGAACTGTAAGAACTTATCCTGTGAGAACCTGACCTGCTTAGGGTGTGCGTAGGGTGGCAGAGCTAAGGGACAGGAGCTCCTGACCAGAGAAAAGACAGGGGAGATCAGGGAGCACGTTCTCCAGCCACTTTGTGATATGTGGGCAAAGGAACAGTGTAAAATGCACTTCCAGATATGGGACCTATTTGGGACATGTAGTGAAAATAATTATTCAAAAATCATGGCCAACCTTCCAGGCGCAGTGGCTCATACCTGCAATCCCAGCACTCTAGGAGGCCCAGGTGGGAGGATCACTTGAGCCCAGGAATTTGAGGTTGCTGTGAGCTAAGCTGATGCCACAGCTCTCTAGATTGGGCGACAGAGGGAGCCTCTGTCCCAAAATAAAAGTATGACCAAGGTAAAGAAACAACGGGTCTCTTAATTTCATCAGCACATCTTATCATTAGCCACATCTTTTGCTTTAAAAACATAATTCTACTAAGTGAAGTATCCCAAGAATGGAAAAGCAAGCACCACATGTACTCACCAGCAAATTGATATTAACTGATGAACACCTAAGTGGACATATAGGAATAACATTTATTGGGTGTCGGGCAGGTGGGACGGGGGAGGAGGGGATGGGCATATACATACATAATTATGTGTGCAAGGCATACCATCTGGGGGATGGTCACGCTTAAAGCTCTGACTCAAGGGGGGAGGGGGCAAGGGCAATATACGTAACCTTAACATTTGTACCCCCATAATATGCTGAAATTTTTAAAAAATGAAAAAAAATAATAATAATCAGTTCAATCTTTGTCATTTGCACCACACGGATTAGTTCATCTTGAAAGATTTTAGATTGTTCAACTTTCTTCTCCTCCCTGTGGAGGGTACAGCTCATTTCCTCACTGACATAGTTCTTGTCATCTCTCCATCACAAGGAGTCTCCAACTCCCTGGGACAACACAGCCCCTTTTCCCTGAGGTGATCGCAATACCCCAGTGCAAAGGTTCCTTCTTCTCCTAGTGGTGAACACTCACATGAGAATTTTTCTCTGCTCATTCACAGTACGAAGCATAAAATGTGAAGAGAGAGGAACACTCCTACACTGCTGGTGGGAGTGCAAACTAGTTCAACCTCTGTGGAAAGCAATATGGAGATACCTTAAAGTGATACAAGTGAATCTACCATTTGATCCAGCAATCCCATTGCTTGGCATCTACCCAAAAGATCCAATGACACTCTACAAAAAAGACACCTGCACTCGAATGTTTATAGCAGCACAATTCATAATTGCAAGGCTGTGGAAACAGCCAAGTGCCCATCAATCCAAGAATGGATTAATAAAATGTGGTATATGTATACCATGGAGTACTATTCAGCTCTAAGAAACAACGGTGATATAGCACATCTT